GGGTGGGGTGGGGGGGGGGGAATATTTAATACTTAATATTTAAATGCAAACCTGAAATCTGAACAAAAAAACTTCAGGTCTCACTTTTGCATTGCTATTTTTAAATGCCGGGAATTATGTAATTTCGACTTTTAATTATACATTTTGTAGTAATTATTTCGAACCAACATATTTTGTTCAAAACTAATAAATAAAAATGCTTTAACTAGACAATTAATTTAAGTAAAAAATGCTTTATGATTAAAAAATTACTTTTGTGTAAAAATTTGTTTTTAAAGTAAAATACTACTAATGAGACAATCTAACTCATAAAATGTAAAAAAAGGACTTAAAATTAAAATTTTCGCTCATGTAAAAAAATTATTTAAAAGTATAAAATTAACTTGTAATTGTAAAAATTAATTATAAATAAAAATACTAACTAATTACAAGTAAATATTTAATTTTTTTTATATTAAATATTATCATCTATGTAAAACATTTATTTATAAATAAGATATCACTTACTAATAGAAAATTTTCCCACATGAAATTATAAATTGAAAATTTCATTGAGGGACATATATACAATTTATTCTTTCAAAATTGATGGACAATAAACTCTCAATCATGAATTGAACTTTTTTAAAAATCACTATTAAAAATCATCAAGAATCAATCCACTCATGACCACATTATATCGTGTCCAACAACCCCGAAGGGAAACACAATAATAGAAAGCAAACAAAAAATGGTAGTAAAAAAAATTCGCCAAAGCATATTCCTATTTTATTCCTTACCAGCCTTGCCTGGACTGGTCTCGTCCTCTGTTAGGTTTATATATATATATATATATATATATATATATATATATGGTGATTAGTAATTTGATATATAAGACCATAGTTGTCAGACCCGACACGTATACTAAACCCAGACAATGTTGCGTGTCAACGGGTCAGTGGTTCAACCGATGGGTCAAACTACGTCAAATATATTATTAATTATTTTCATTGAATAATAAAATTTTGACATTTTCTATCAATAACTAAATTAACCTCATTTTATTTTGTTAACTAAAGAATAACATGTAAAATTTCACAAATTTTAGATGAAATATCTATTTGAAACAATAAAACAACAATCAATGATTTAAAAAAAAGGGAAAATTGTAGCAGCAGACCCTAATATTTTCGTTTTTTGTAGACTTTACCCTAACATTTATTTGTGCCAGCGAAGATCCCTAACATTTCATAAACATGCACATTCCTTAATTTTTTTGATTAACTGACGGTACTTGGGACGGTTTCCATCCAAAGGGACCTTAGTTTCATATTTATAAAATGTTAGGAACCTCCGTTAGTACAAAATGAAAATTAGGGTAAAGTCTGCAAAAAATGAAAATGTTAGAGACTGCTACTTCAATTTTCCCAAAAAAAAAATACCACCTT